TTTGGGCTTTGGGGATCTCCAAACTATAGGGCTTGCCTATCGTTTGGAGATCCCCAAAGCCCAAACAAAAAAATCTAACAGCAGACTTCCCTGAGCCCTCCACTCACACAACCTGTTTAGGCCTGGCGTTGTTGTTCTTGTTGTTGTTGTTGTTGCTGTTGTTGCTAGTGCAGGTGTAGCAGGTATCGTGCAGCACTTCGTATCATGACTATACGTGCTCTTGCCGTGTTTGGAACGTTTATCGTCAAGAGGTAAAGCTGGAAGCATATCGCAGTACCTCGCCGACCATGCCGACATGTATAGCAGCTGCAAGGATTGCTCGAAGCAAATAGTCTTTCTGTGCCAAGCGCGAGCGAACAGACGCACAAAAGGCCTAGGTTCCAGTGTTTAGCGAGTGAGGGTTGAGGGCTCAAGGGCCTGGGATTTAGGTGTCAGCGTCAGGGTTCAGGGCATTTCACACGGTTTCCATAGTGGGAATTTTGGTTCGGGACTTGCGCGGGCTTTCGTACGGAAGATATTCATTGAAATGTTATGGTGGCTCGGCATGCCGAGGCACAATGTGTGTGGAGGACAGCAAAACCAATTTGTTTGATTTGTCCGTAAGAGGGTGTTTGATGGTTGCTTCATATTACACAGCACAAGGAAAGGAGGCTCCGCAACCTGTCATGCGAGCCCGACTTAGCCTGAAGGCCAACGTCACTGCTCAACACCGGCACCAGTTGCCGACAGTCGCACTAGGGGGTTGGGTATTTGGCCAATCAATTGCATGGCTTCTGTCCAAGATATGGTACCATGCAGTTCTCAATGGTTTGAGCTGGTTTCTGTGCTATCCCTGTCGAGCTTGCTTAAAAGGCTTAAAATATCTTCACATGCGTGCATTTCCACATGTGTCTAACTCTGCTTATCATTGCAAATCTACTGTGACAGCTGTTAAGAGCAGTTGAACAGCCTCGTTTTCTCATGTACGGACAAAATGGGGATTTCCGAAAATAGGGGACCCTAATATAGTACCCTAAATAATAGGATCCCTATTATAAGGACCCCAAAATAAGGTACCCCCCCAATTTTCGGAAACTCCCAAATGGTTTCGGAGTGTTTCCCGGACGGATCTCTTCAGGCTCGGCTTTTTAGTGTGGTGACACTTGGGTTGCGCTGTGGCTAGCGACCGAAAGCACCACCCCGAACACGCTGAAGTTCGCGGTCATGACGGAACTTTAAATTTAAGTCTTATGACTATAGGACTGTAGGAGCCTAAATAAATTACGAATACTACTGGGGGGTTCCTTATTATAGCCAGAGTGTAGTGTACTATACCCCAAAACCCTATTCTAACTACTCAGGCTTTACATTACATGCCGTGAATCTATTGAACTGCTCTAGAAGTCGGACAGCACCAAATCATGGAACCAGCCAAAGCACCTCAGCGCAGGTTGCTTCAATATCTCGACATCGACGAGAGCGCGAAAGAAGCGCTGTCTACGATACCAGTTGAGAATCAGGTGAGCCCTCTTGTGCTTGACCCCGCCCCCGCTCCATCACCCCCAATACCCAAGCCGTGAAATTCTGACGGCTGCATCCTAAAACCGCCTCTAACCCGAAGCCAGGCCTGTTCCTCTCTACAGTAGTGGGTTCTTGCGCTACCCATAGGCCCCAAAGTAGTTCCTTTTGGGGTTCATACTTAGAACCCTATAAGGTAATCCCAAAAAGGAACTACTATGGGGCCTATGGGTAGACTCTAGGACACTTTGAGGTCCCTTATCCCTAAACCCTCGAACTAGGATCTGTAGGACTGTAGGACCCTTGAGGTTGAAGAACGATAATGAATTATACAGTTAATAAGATAACAGTTATATATATATATATATACATATCTATATATATATATATGTATATATATATATACTAATCTCTTGATATATGAAAATGATGAAACAACGAAAATAGTTCTTCATCTCAACAGTGCCTTGCTTCGATCGGCCTCCTTCTGGGGGTTCTGCAGGATGGCACCACGGGCCCACAAAGAAAATTGTAGGCTGCCTTCAGAAGAACATAATATGACGAGATATATGACAGTATATTAAAAGATAATTGAACAGAATAGAGTAGAATAGAATAGAACATATTAGTATAATATCAGAAGGTGCTGATTGCGTCGCCACGAGCCGTGCTTCTGTTGTTGTGGCTGTGGCCTTGAGTGCCCTTGCCCGTGGCAATGATGAACACCAGCCCAGTGTTTCGGCTTTCTGGACACACCTCGCACACATCAGAATCAACACTTGGGTTTGGTGGGTTCCTGGACCCCAAGAGTGTGTAGAATAATAGCCCTTTATAGGCTTTGGGCGATTATTCTACCTACCTTTGGGGGTTTTAGTGGGTTGTGGTTAAATTAAGGCACAGCTAAACCCTCACCTGAAGCCCTACACCGCCTTACCCCAGAAACCCTCGAAGTGTTGTGTGGATCCGTTCTGTGCTCGTGGGTGGCACCACAGCAGCGAGTCATCCATCAGCTTCGCGGAAAGCCCAATCTTCATCCCAAGGGCGCGAAAGTCTAATATAGGGGCCTGAATAAGTAGAATAGGGTTTTGGGGCCCAGTATACTATAGTTATAATAAGGAACCCCCAACATAGTATAGGTAATTATTTAGGCCCCTACATTACAGGTCTCCGAAGTGTCACAGTACTATGCAAGATGCCCTCCGAGACCTGACCACCTCCGCTTCTTCCGTCCCGAGCCTGGGCCGCCTGGGCCTAAGGTAGTTCCTTTTTGGGGTTCATATATAGAATCCTATAAGGTAATCCCAAAAAGGAACTACTGTGGGGCCTATGGGTATAGACCCAATTGTAGCCTTCAGGTGGGTTTAGGGTTTAGGGTTTAGGGAGCCTTTAGTATGCAACCTGCAAGGGAAGCCGTAAGGGATTGCTTAAGAATGGCAGGTTGAGCTGCTGGAGGAGTTGACTGAGCCGATGCCCCAGTGATTTTTCATGGACAGCCGACGGAGGAAGAATTTTCAATAGCAGCATGCTTAGCTCAAAGCCTTCTATAATCTTCTATACTCGCGTCAACAGAGGCCCCCCATCGGATCTCTTGTCTTTTCAAGCGACTTTTATTCATTGACGTCGGATGGAACGGTTCGATGTTGAATAGCTGGCTTATATATGACATGAGCGCTTTAATAAAAGATACGAGTACCACAAGGACACGCCGCTAGGGTGTACAATACGGTATGACATAGTAGTATTCGCAGTAAGATACCTATAACGAGTATAATTGCTACTACAACTAATATGATTATTCCCTAAACCCTAAACCCTAAACCGTATTGGCATTGCTATTGTATATTGCTTACACAGTTCAGGGGTTGAGTCGGTGAAGCCTATCATGGCGAAAGGCTCTCCCGGTAGGCTGAGAGTGAGGCCCCCCGAGATCCCGCGCCTCCTCCAGTGGGAGTTTTCGAAAATCAGGGGTACCTTATTTTGGGGTCCTTATAGTTATAATAAGAATCCTACTATTTCGGGTGCTATATTCGGGTCCCCTATTTTCGGAAAGCCCCACGTGTCTCGGGCTTCTACAGGCTAAACCCTGAAGACATAATATCGTAATATACAGGTCAGATTAGTTTACATGTACTATCCCCTTGTAGTCCCCATATGTGTAAGTAAGTATGTCTGTCTGTCTGTCTGTCTGTCTGTCTGTCTGTATGTATGTATGTATGTATGTATGTATGTATGTATGTATGTATGTATCGCTGTATCGTTGTATCGTTGTATCGTTGTATGTATGTATGTATGTACGTACCTACGTATGTATGTATGCATGTATGTATGTATATATATATATATAATATGTACACACCATTATAACATCGCCACCCTGTTCCAATCTAATGCTTACGGCCCTCACATCAAAAGGCCGACGACCCTCGCGTCCCAAACCCGAATCCTGAACCCAAACCTGTGGAAGCAGCTGTAAAATATGTCTTTCAGGCCTTGAGGGCTGTGAACTGCACCCGAAGCCCTTAACCCTTTTAATTGAGACTTGAGGTTAAGGGTTTAGGGTTTACCCATAGGCCCCATAGTAGTTCCTTTTTGGGATTCCCTAATCGGATTCTAAATAAACTACTTTAGGGCCTATGGGTAGACTTCAGGGCTTGGGGCTGGCAGCTGCAACCCAGGATTCCTGGCCTGCGTGGAGGGTTCAGTGTTAAAGAGGTCTATAGGAAAACCGAATATAGGGGTTAACCTAGACCCTTTTATTTGTAGTACCTTTTTCTGGATGCCTTATTTTATGGTTAGGATCCCATAATAAGAACTTAAGGTAACCAAAAGAAGGTACCACATGTAAGGGTCCAGGTAGGGTTTAGGGCCGAGCTTTCTAAGGGACCGCAGCAGAGTCCGGAAGCACTCCGCATTCATCGTCAGCAACGTCAAGCGGGTGAAAGAAGGCGCCCAGAAGCCTGAATCCTAAACCCTAAACCCCAAAATCCTAAACCCTAAACCCCTTAAGTCCCAGACCCCGAACCCAGAGTCGTGACTTCTGAAGCACGAAGCCTTCTCTCCATGGTCATATCGGAGTTGAAGTTGAGGACCGCTTCATATTGAGGGGCTTGGCATGGTTTATGCGTTCAGGGGTTTATGGGTTTATGGGTATATGGGCTTTGGGCTTAGTGTTCAGGGGTTTATGGGTTTAAGCGGGGTTCAGGGGTTTATGGGTTTATGGGTGCAGTCGCGTAGGGTTTGGTGTTTATGGGTTTAAGGGGGGTTCTAGGGGTTCACAGGTTCACAATAGAGGCTTGTTGGACTTAAGGGCTTTGGGCTCGGGGGTTCAGAGCTTCTGATGCCCATGGGTTTGGGGTTGGGCGCGTTCAAGGCAGGAAGTAGACTGAACGACATGGTTTAGGGTTTAGGGTGTTTTGTTTTGCGTGAGTTCTTGGTGTTGAGCTTGTTCGAAACCCTGCGAAGCCCAATGCCCGTAAACCACCTTAACATCCAAAGCCCTGCACCCTAAAACCGAGAACCCAAAACTAAACCCCCGCACCCTAAACCCGAAAACCCTAGATTCTCTAAGCCCGAGGCCGAGACCCCTAAACCGTAGAATCCGTGATCGGAAGCTGGAATTTTGGTTATTGCCGAGACCAGGCTGGCCTGCTGTCAGGAACTACCTATCGCCTCCATTGATGTTCTCTTTCTTGATTTGACCAGTTTGGTTTAGGATCCTATAAGGTATGGAGAAGAGGAACTACCATGGACTCTATGAGGTACTTGGGGTGCACGGGGCATAGGTTTAGGGATTTAGGGATCAGCTCTGGCGTTGTCGCTCTCAATTTCGGCATGTTCAATTTTAGCATTAAGCTCGGCCTTAAATGGTCTCGCAGTAGGACCTTAGGGTAGTTTCTCGGAGAGCCCACAAGCTTTCCGGGAGCCGAGTGTCGGTTGAAAGGCTACCCTAAACCCTAAACACCTCAACCCTAAACCCTATAAACCCTAAACCCTAAACCCTAAACCCTAAACCCTAGACTTGACATTCCTAGCCTCTCATGCGCTGACCCTCAGACTCAGCCCCCCTTCACGCTGCCCTCAGAAGAAAACAACGCACCATGGCTTCGTCAAGTTGCTGGTAGACGCTTGGGACTCCAGAAGCCTCCAAATTTTAGGGTTTAGGGTTTATGTAGGGCTTACGGTTTATATATGGTTTAGGGTTTAGGGCTTAATAGGGGCCTACATAATTACCAATACTATTTTGGGAGCTCCTTATTATGATTTTAGCACAATAGACCCCCGAAGCCCTATTCTAGTTATTCAGGCCCCTATATTGGGGTTGTTCAGTTTGCAAAGACCAGGTACCTATCGGTCCCGTGCGCCCAAGGACAATGGCCGGGGTTCCTGGCAAAGATGCGTTCACTGTAGAAGCTGGAATCGGACAGTGCGTAAGTCGTTCCATTACATCAGGGTACCCTAAAACCTAGACCTTAAACCCTCTACACCCTAGACCCTGAACCCCAAACCCTAAACCCTAAATCCATGATACAGGCTGCTTCACTAGATTCTCGTGGCGGGCCTGAAGTTAAGGCCTTCCTAAGCACCGGAGCCCCCCGCAAGTCGTCGAAACCGCCAAAGCGGCTTAGGGTTCGGGGTTTAGGGTTTAGAGGTTTCGGGTCTAGGGGCTTTAAGGTTTAGGGTTTAGGGTTTAGGGTTAGCGGCTTGGGGGGCTTGGAGTTGAGGAGTTGAGGCCTTACAGCCAGCACGGAGGAAGCTGCAAAGGGGCACTTTGACTACGGTTCATGATATAAACCCTGCATTACCCATACTAAGGAATATAGGAGTTTCCATAGTTCAGGGCCCTTTAGGTGATGCATCAACAGTAGTAAACCCTAAACCCTAAACCCTAAACCCTAAACCCTAAACCCTAAAGTATGGGTTCAGACAAGGAGTCGGCGTCTGATCAGATGGGCTGTCGGGTCGGGAGATGTGTGGGCTCGCCATCGCCAGAGGGTGCCGCCGA